ACACACACACACACACACACACACACACACACACACGGCTGGGTATCAAGTGCAGCGGACTTAAAGAACGACATGAAACAGAGACGATATTTATGACAATGCCAGCAGCCACGTCCAGCTGTGCTATCTGAATGAGCTTTTGTGGGATTACAGCACTGACTGGGTGAAGAGGTTGAATAAAACCAGGCCGAGCTCTGAAATCAACTCTGACAACCAAACTTGACTTACTCTCATATTATCAGCAGATCACACTTCATCTAACAGATGACAACAAATACTAATAATAAGAGAATTATATAGAAGGAGGAAAACAAAACGATATTGGAAAAGCAGTTGCATTGTGAAAAAAGTAATAGTTAGAGTTATGTATAAATACTTAACTTATTGTGTGTAACCCAGTGTATGTGTGTGTGTGCATCCTGGAATCACATACTGGATCTATGAAGACTCAATTCTGAATGTTTTCCTGGAGATTGTGCAGATTAGACTTGAACGTGAACTGAACATTCACACGTTCTTCAATTCTTTAATTTTCTAAATCCTGTTTTAATTTAAATGTGTCTTTTTTTGGTGTTGGTGTTTCAGTTCAACGTTTTCCTTCTTTTATGGCAGCGTCTTTGTTCTTAAACACAAGCTTTGTGATGCAAACTGTTTTCAAGACAGTGTCAGGCCACAAAATGATGTAAACTAAATTTACCCAAATAATTACAGTTTGAACACACAAAAAAAACAACTTATAGCAAGTTAAAACTGCTTGTGTTCATTTTACATATTGCTTTAAATACCAGCTAAGATTTTCACTCTTCTCTGGAACTTACCGTTGTGTGAAGGTGACGACGCTGTACTTGACTTCGCATCACCTCCTTTCTGATGCAGCAAGCTGGAAATAAAAGACTAAAATTATTCCAAACATTTCTTCGAGCTGATTTTATGATTAGCACAGCCACAGAAAATACTAAACATAGAAACATGAAAAACAGTGACTGAATAATGAAAATAAATTCACACAAAGAACAGAATGCTTTAAATTAAAACAGCTTCATATTACAATAATTGAAATATATTTAACTAACTATGTACAACAGCATTAGTATTGAGGTTTGGTTAAATATTTCAGCATTAACTATCGTCCCAGTTGATATTACACAAACTACAAGCTATTCATAGGTAATGTCATGGGATTATTGTGTATTATTGTAGTTTTACCAGAGTTGTCAAGGAAATCTAAAGTTTTTCTGAGTGAAGATGAGATCAAAATAGCAAGATGGTTAAACCCTTAAAGACAGAGACTGAATATCTATTTAATGA